ATGGATGGATGGATGGATGGATGGATGGATGAATGAAATGGTGGATGGATGGATGAATAAGTGGATGGATTGATGGATAAATGGGTGGATGGATGAATGGGTAAATGGATGGATGGATGGATGGATGATGGATTGATTGTTGGATGGATTGATGGATGAATGGATGGATGAATGGAAGGATGGATTTGATAGATAGACAGATGGATGAATGGATGGATGGATGATGGATTGATAGAATGATGGATGGATGAATGGATGGATTTGATGGATGAATGGATGAATGGATTTGATAGATGGATGGATGAATGGATGGATTTGATAGATGGATGGATGAATGGATGGATGAATGGATTTGATAGATGGATGGATGGATTTGATGGATGGATGAAAGAAAACAACAGTAACATTAAGTTCAATCTCTTTATCTAATAATGAAATGATTCAGATTTACTGCATCTGTTCACAGCTGCTCCGATAACCCAACAACTACCGGAACAAATCGGTAGATCCTCCCTCGCAGAAAACCACATCAGTTTATTTGTGAAAGTGCTTTCAGGGAGAGAATCACACTGTTCAGAGCTGCAACTTTCTACTTCTGCACTTTCAAACTAATATTAGTGACTCTAGCTTGGCGTGTGCGGAACATGTGCTCTTCCTTGTCTGCTTATACAGATCGGACACGTCGGCCTGTGTGTGCGCTCAACTCCCCAGTGAGCCACAAAACAGCACAAGGCAGTATGGGTAATGAGTTTCTGCGGGCTCCGGCTGTGTGCGGGGGTAAATTACAACGGCAGAAAACAATCAGGCGAGCTGCTGTCCTGCGGCGGATAGCTGACCTTGAGGATGGAGGAACACTTTGTTTCCCCGCAGTACATCCACTCCCGGACACTCCAAACTAATTGCTAACATTTCTCACCTGATAATTTATTTAGTAAATATCGCCATGGAAACAAAGAACCTTCGTTGGCCACTAAAACTGCTGCCACCGAGGAATATAACAACTGAAGTCCTTGAGTTAAATGTGTCTTTACAAATGAATCCCTGAGCTCTGGAGCAGAGGCCCATTATCCACGGTTTGAACCGTGGAGTCGGTGGCGCTGAAGCGATGCCGAAGCTTGTCCGTTCATTTGTAAGATGTCGCTTTGGATTTCCCTCGCAGCCCATTGATCACTACGAGTGAATTCCAGCGCTGCTGCCTCTGATGAAGTGAGCCGCTCGAGACAACAGGTGGAAGGACGTCTTACCGTGGCGCCAGGTAGACCTCTCTCTCCCGGGAAGCCTCGAAGGCCTGGGGGCCCATCTTTACCAGAGGAACCTTGTGGTCCAGGATCTCCCTACATAAACACAATAAACAGATTTATTTTTATTATTTACAACGTTGCAATAACTCAAAAAACTCTAGACGTCAACTTAATACAAGATATAAATAAAAACAGAGCATTGCATGTTTTTGCACAACGAGGTTGTGGAAACCAGAAATACCATGGAATACGTTTACCAGTTTTATTTTTCCATAAGGTTTTCGCAATCTAACTACGTCTGCAGACTTTGAGCTTATTTTTTCCATCTATGTATCAAAACGTTCAGCTCATCCAGAACACAGACGATGTGACTTTTAGCTGTTGTAACCTTCATCCTTCTCAAAATATTAAACTTCTATTTTTTTTAATCTTCTTGTGCCACATTATGTTTAAGACAGCCTTTAGCTACTTTTAGCTTTTAGCTAACAGTGTGCTCTATTTAGATTTTAATTTGCAATTTTAGATTTTAGCTAGCTTTTTGCTAATGTTAAGTTATAGTATTTAGCTAGATATTTGACAATTTTAGATTTTAGCTAGCTTTTTGCCAATTTTGGCTTCAAGCTAGCCTTTAGCTATTTTACCTTCAAGTGAGTATTTTGCTTTTTTTAGCTTTAAGCTAGCCTTTTGATAATTTTAGGTTTAAGCTTTTATCTAGCTATTTCCCTATTTTAGCTTTGACCTAACCTGTCGCTAAGTTTGTCTTTAGTTAGCTTTTGCAAATTTTAGCTTTAAGCTAGTCTTCTGCAATATTATTGCATTAAGATAGCCTTTAGTTATTTTGAGCTTCAAGTGTGTGTTTAGCTATTTTTAGCTTTTGTCAATTTTGGCTTTAAGAAAGCCTTTTGATAATTTTAGGTTTAAGCTTATATCTAGCTGTTTCCCAGTTATAGCTTTAAGCTACCCTTCTGCAATTTTTTGCATTAAGCTAGCCTTTAGCTATTTTTAGCTTCAAGTGAGTGTTTTGTTAATTTTTGCTTTTAGCTAGGCTTTTGCTAATTTTAGATTTAAGATAGCCTTTTGCTAATTTTATGTTTAAGCTTTTATCTATCAGTAGCTATTTCCCAGTTTTAACTTTGAGCTAACCTGTTGCCAAGTTTGTCTTTAGTTAGTATTTTGCTAATTTTAGCTTTAAGTTACCCTTCGGCAATTTTTTTGCATTAAGATAGCCTTTAGCTATTTTTAGCTTCAAGTGTGCATTTGCTATTTTTTTTAGCTTTGAGCTAAGGTTTTGTCAATTTTAGCTTTAAGTTAGCCTTTTTCCAATTTTTATGTTTAAGCTTTTATCTAACTATTTCCCAGTTTTAGCTTTGAGCTAACCTGTTGCTAAGTTTGTCTTTAGTTAGCATTTTGCTTATTTCAGTTGTGGTCTCTTCTATGGTTTCTGTCACAATTTTCATTCCACTACTTTTCTTGCATGACCATCAAAATGAGCGGCTTCATCGGGAACGTCGTGCTCCAATATCTGGTAGCAGAACATCAAAACAACAAAGACCAATTTAGTAAATAAATAAATAATAAATAAATAAATAAACAGCAAAAACTTTGGGTTTTGACAAAACAAAGTTCAATGTTTGGGTCTTTTTATAATAGTTTTTGTAAATTTCGTCCACATCGTTTGTTGTGCCGCTGCCTAAAGTCAGAACAGGTTCTTCCTGGTCGAGCTGCACGTCCTGATTTATTCTTTCTGAGTTTATCCAAAGTTGCAGGGAGGGATGCGAAACTTAAACTGTGACAGAAGCACAAGAATAATTAGAAAACATTAATAAACTGTTTATGGACTTCCTCGTTTTCTTCCTTATTTATTTGGTAGACTAAATTTGTGCAACAAGGACGTTTGACTTAATAAAAACCTCCTTTTCCCCTGAAGGTTTTGTGTTTTTATTTTCCATTGATGAGCTGACTTTATCTGCACGCCGTGAAGCTCAGACAGTTGAGCCTGAGAGGTGTTGGAGGATTTGTAACCCTGGAATACTGATGGCCCAGTCTGAGCGAGGAGGAGGAGGAGGAGGAGGAGGAAGAGGTCTGTGAGTGATGCAGGGTTTAGATTGAGTCGGCTGACTTGATTAAACTGTCTGCCGGGGTGAGGCAGGGAGAAAATGAGAGGGGGAGGAATGACAGTGAAAGGGGAGGATGAGTCCCTGGATGGTCCTGGGACTGAGGGGCTTCTAACAAATGTGAGCCTGACGGTCCCTGAGCTGCCAGGAAGGAACCAAACCAACCTTAGAGAAACAAATGTTCATGATATGGTGCGCGCATGTGTCAAAGGGACGGTTTTACCACCCAAACTGGGACTTGGACCCCACCATATTACCATTATCGTGCATTTTTGAATAGGAATTATTACGATTTCAGACCCCAACAGATAAAATCCACCATGAGTCAAACAAAGAAAACGTCATTAAATATTTTGATTGCAATTTAGAGTTTCTGACGTGGATTGTGTCAGTTTAACTACCGTACGTTCCGGTCTATAAGCCGCTGCTTTTTTCTCAGCCTTTAAACCCCGCAGCTTGTACAATGCCATGGCAATTATTTATTTATTTTTTTTTTCTTGAGGGGCTAACAAGCTTCCTGCTGCCAAAAACATTTAGCTTTGATACGGACACACTCAAAACTGCCCAATACACATTAGAGTTGCCTTCGGGTCCAAAAAAATCCGACCCAGCCCCAATTATTTCCGAACGCCACCCGATCCAACGAATTAACAGTAATTACAGGTCCTAACTCCCAAAAAATCCCCCAACATTTTTAATTAAGCTTTGACTGCTTATATAGTTATTAGCGGTTGGCGGACGCGCATGACTGAATAAAAGGGGCAGAAGATCGGAGCTGAGGGGGAGTTTGTCCTTTCGTGGCCATCAAAGCGCATGCTTCACCTGTTTCTGCCTGCATTCTGCATTATTCATACATGGATCCTGCTCTGACATGTCAGATATTTTGTGATTTCACCTGTTTGGGTCATCGGCCGCACGTGTCCGCTGAGTGCAGCGGCTGAATGAACGTCCATTTGAGCTGATGGATCACTGGCAGTAGTCCATCTGAATCTTAACTGAACATTTTACCTCTTTCAAGGCCAATCAGCATGCCATTTGACTTGCTGCCATTTGACTTGCCACCATTTGACTTGCTGCCATTTGACTTGCTGCCATTTGACTTGTGGCCATTTGACTTGCTGCCATTTGACTTGCTGCCATTTGACTTGCTGCCATTTGACTTGCTGCCATTTGACTTGCCACCATTTGACTTGCAACCATTTGACTTGCTGCCATTTGACTTGTGGCCATTTGACTTGCAACCATTTGACTTGC